GATGATGATGATGATTAATTTGCCAGTCCCAGGGCTTGAACTCAGGGCACTGTCCCTGAGCTTCTTTTGCTCAAGCTAGCACTCCACCACTTGGGCCATAACGCCACTTCAGGCTTTTTTCTGTGTATGTGGTACTGGGGAATCGAACCTAGGGCCTCGTGCATGCTAGGCCAGCACTCTACCACTAGGCCACCTTCCCAGCCCCTCTGCTCATGTATTTTTGCCTGAAGGTCTATTGTGGTGTGGTGCATTTTCTGCCTGGAAGGGTCTGTGTAGCGGGGTGGAGGGACTGTGAGAGAGTTAATGAGGAGGGCTGGCTTTGGGTGGATTAGCGAGCAGGAGGTAATTCTTTCTGACAAGTTCCATTTAGTGATTTTTATTCTTCCATCAGACGAGCTGTCACAAAGTGTTTTGAATGCCAGTGTAATCAGGCACACGGGCTGGTGTGCAGCAATAATCACTGCTCAGGCAAAGGAAAGCGAAGCGTGGGGAGATACTTAGTGGAGAAAGTTCTGAGGATCAGAATCTGCAGGATGGACCCTTCTTCCTTCCTCCACTTAAAGGCTTTCATTAGACCCTCTTTGTCTCCCCCTGTCTCCCCCTTCTCCTGATTGATTCCATCATTGGAGGGGGGAAAAAAATCTCATGGCTTAAAAGTAAGCCGGGATTTATGATTCTTCACCCTAGACTTGGTCCTTGCTATTTCAAAGACTGTTCAAAGGCAGTTAAGTAGAAATCCAGGAAGTGATGCCAGGGAAAACAAAAGGGACCTGACATTTGGAAAATCCCACAGAGCTGTTTTTCTTTTTCCTCTTCTTTTCTGAGAAGAATTTAGGACCCTTTGCTATCCGGAAGCTATGTTGTCAGCGTCGGCTTTGGCCAAGATGAAAGCAAGGAAGGGAGGGAGAAAGTGAAGGAAGGAAGGAAGGAAGGAAGGAAGGGAGGGAGGGAGGGAGGGAGGGAGGGAGGGACGGAGGAAGAAAGGTAAGCTTCCACAGGTGAATTTAAACTTGCCTTAACTGAAAAGAAGCGTCCTAGATCAAAATTTCTGATGGAATTATTGAGCAGATTGTATGCAAGGGTAAAAAAAAAAAAGACTAGAAGGAGGGAATCTCCCCCCCCCACACAGGAATACAAAAGAACACATGTACTATCAAAATATGGATGGGTATGTCTCCTAAAGAACTTAACTAATGAAACTAAGAATCTTCACATATATCCAGTAATTCACCCACCCACCCCTCACCCATCCACAAAACTTTCTGTTCACCTATCCATCCATCCACAAACCCACCTGCCTACCTATCCATCCATCCACAAACCTACCTGTCCACCTATCCATCCATCCACAAACCTACCTGTCCACCTACCCACCCACACCCACATACACCTACCCACCCACCCATCCATCCATTCACCCACTCACCCACCCAACCATCCATCTATCTACCCAACCATCCACCCATCCATCCACCTACCCATGCACCCACTCATCCATCCATCCATTCATCTATCCAGCCATCCACCTACCCACCTACCTACCCACTAAGCAGATACTTTTCTAAAAATTGCTTTCTTTCTTTCTTTCTTTTTTGCTGGTATCACAGTTTGAATTTAGAGCCTTATGTTTGCCGGGCTTGCGTTCTCAGCAGGCATTTATACTGTTCGAGCCATGCCTCCAGCCTAAGCAGATACTTATTAAGAATATAGTGAGTGCTGGAGGCTCAGGTCCACAATCCTAGCTCCTTGGGAAGCCGGGAGCGGAAGAATCTTGGCTTGAGGCCAATAGGAGCAGAAAGGTTTGCAAGACTCTAGCTCAAAAATAGGAAAACAACAACAACAACAAAAATCAGGGCCGGAGGTATGGCTAAAGTTAGAGAAAACCAACCTGGTGAAACACAAGTCAAACTCCCAATACCAGCCTCCAAAATACAATGACCAAAGTCTAATGGATGTATATATTCAGATAGCATACTAAAAACCTTTTTAAAAATGTGGAGGGAGATAGAGAATAGTAATAGGGATGATGGGTTTGATCGATGTACATTATGCATATATAAGGGTGGTATAATAAAACACCTTTGCATAAATAATATACACTAATAGTAATAAATAGAAATATATATATATATGTATATATATGCGCAGCACTGAAAAGGTAGCAGTTAATCTGATCTTGGTACTCAGATTTCAGTCAAGGAGACAAACCACAAATACATGGCTAAGTAAAAAAAGGTGATTATAGAGGTCAGGGAGTTCACCACGAGGGAGATACATGGAGAGATAGAATGGAGAATTACTGGAGAATGAAGAACACCAAGGGGTATTTCTCTGACAGGCTGCATTTCGGGGCTGATGTATAAAGGTCAATAAGGTACCAGTTATGCAGAGATAGGGAGGAGGTGTGCAGGGGTTGTTGAATGACTTTGTGAGGGACAGGCTGACACTGAAGCCTTACCCTCAATTGCTAGATTAGCAAGCTTTTAGAAGTGTCCTATGCAGGGAGCTCTCTGATTCCCGTGTTGTTTATTTATTTGTCCGTCGTGGGGCTTGAACTCAGGGCCTGAACACTGTCCCTTGGCTCTTCAGCTCAAGGCAAACACTCTACCACTTGAGCTACAGCACCACTTCTGCTTTTCTGAGTGGTTTATTGGAGATCAGAGTCTCACGAACTTTCCTGCTTGAGCTGGCTTTGAACCGTGATCTTCAGATCTCAGCCTCCTGAGTGGCTAGAATGACAGGCGTGAGCCACCGGCGCCTGGCTTCATATTTCGCATCTCATAGTGCACAGAAGTGATTCCCTATCTCATAATAAGGTAGTGAAACTCTGTACTTCCAATATTCTATAATCTCTGTGCTCTACCACTTGAGCCACAGCACCACTTCCAGCTTTTTCTGCTTATGGGGTGCTGAGGAATCGAACCTAGGGCTTCATGCATGCAAGGTAAGCACTCTACCACTGAGCCACCTTCCCAGTCCAATTTTTTTTTCTTAATGACAGATCAAATTATTGATAGTGTCTCTGACTTTATGAAATATATTAGGTAAATACATTTTTGTCCCCCAGTTAAATGTTAGAATGATATTAAATAAAACATTTTGGTTCAAAAACTCAAGGGGTATTCTTATCCAGATAATTGATTTTTTCCCCCTAATAAACGTGATGTAACAAAATTGTGACACCGCAGCCCAATAAAGGGGGTGTTCAGATAGCACTTGACAATATTGATTTTTAAACCTCAGCTCCCTCCTTGATAAAACGAAGGCAGCGGAATTTACCTCGCGGCGTTTTAGAAGTGAAGTCATGATTTTTTGATCGGGGCTTTTTATTCCACCCAAATATGCCGTAAAATCGTAAGTAAGTTCATTCAGTCGCTAATAGCAAATAGATCCCTGAGATCTACTGGAGAAGTGTGTTTTTCTTCTCGTGTTATTCAGAAGACCTTTGTAGTATACTGTTATTTCTAGGGTTGCCGTAGCAGACTGGAATCCTCTATTAATATCTAAGGTATTTAGCTGTGTTCCCTATCACAGGAATGTAAGGCTCAGCATATATAGGTGATTGAAAAAAGAAAGAGTCAAGCTTCTGACCTTTAGTTATGTTTAAAAACTACCCAGGCATGGTGATGCATGCCTGTAGTACAAACTCTAGGGAGGCGGAGGTAGGATTCTGAGTTCCAGGGTTGAAGCCTTTATCTCAAAATAAAATACAATAAAATAAAATCCAAACTAAACAAACATCTCTCTCGCTACAGAATTTTCCACCCCACTGATAACCAAAGACGAGAGAGTGAGAAACGCTGCTGGAAAACCAGTCTGGTTTCTTTCACTTCAAGAAAACTTCAAGGAAAAAAAATAAATAGAAAGAGGGAGATGGAGAGGGGAGGGAGAGAGAGAGACAGACAGACAGACAGGCAGACCAACCAATGAAAAGCAATGAAAAGACATCTCACTCACTCAAATACAATGTTTGGCCTTCATTCAAATTCCAATGTAAAAATACACGGCAAACCAAAATCAGCTGCTCTATAAATGAGCGCATGGAGCAGATCTGAACGAATGGCAGAATTGGCCAGCATTAATATTCTTGGGTGCGAGTGTCCTTTGGTACACGTGTATTGGAAGGGAGGTTAGCTAGACTTATTGACGTCTTTTCAGAGGAGACGAGATGAGAGCTGTATGATCCTATCACCTGATGATTCCAGATGTCAGTCAACCAACCCAAAGTAGATCCACCCGGCTTACATCAACTGGACCACAAACGCTGGAGGAAGTCAAAGCAAAGCCAGCCTGATCAGCTCCACCCCACTTGCCAAGATATAGAACGATCGGCTACACAAATGTCACATTCAACCATTAGATCTCTGTTCTGCCACAAAATACTGTCTTCAACTATGAAATCTGGACCTAGTGTGTCATGCAACAATCGATGATTGATCAAGAGATATTTCACATTTTTACAGCTTCCAGTTATACCAGGAAGTTATGACCGTAGTATTGATCAGAAGCTAGGGCACTTGTTGATAGAGCACAGCTATTGCCTAATTATCACTTTCCCTAGCAGAAGAAAACTCTACGTATGTATGTATGTATGTATGTATGTATGTATGTATGTATGTATGTATCTATCTATCTATCTATACTGTCTGTCTGTCTATTTCCAGTTGTGGGGCTTGGACTCAGGGCCTGGGCGCTGTCTCTGAGCTCTTCAGCTCAGAGCAAGTGCTCTCCCGCTTGAGCCACAGCAGCACTTCTGGTTTTCTGGTGGTGGTTCATTGGAATTAAGAATCTCACAGACTTTCTTGCCCAGGCTGGCTTTGAACCTCGATCTTCCAATCTCAGCTTCCAAAGTAGCTATATATATATATATATATATATATATATATATATATATATATATATATATATATATATATATATATATATGCGCGCGCACACACACACACACACACACACACACACACACACAAAAAATCCGATTTCTTAAATAGGCATCTGACCTTCAGTCGGCGGTCTGGATCTCCACTGCAGAGAGAATTTACAGAGACTTTGAAGGACTTCCAGGCTGGGCTTAAGTTATTCATCACAACCTGGGAAGAGGAAGAGGAAGATGTGTGAGTGGAGGAGTGGATTCTGGACATTTTCACATCTCCACATAAGAACAGGCTGGCGAAGCCATGGTGGTGGCCTGTGAATAGAACCGTGGTCTAGAATACGTGGCTTAACCAGGACCTGGAGGAGAAAATCTGGTCCCTGGCTGGGTCAGGGGGCTGTTTCATGAATAATGGGTGGTAATGTTTTCCACCGTGGATACTGACGATAAGTCTGGAAACAACTGTTCTGGAAACAGGGTAGCTAGCAGCCGTTAGGTGATGAATTTAGGGAGACAATGCTGGTGGCTCTGGTGGCTCACCCCTGTCATCTTAGCTACTCAGGAAGCTGAGATCTGAGGATCTTGGATCAAAGCTAGGGTAGATAAGAAAGGCCGTGAGACTCTTATCTCCAAGGAACCACTCAGAAAACCAGAAGTGGTGCTGTGGCTCAAGTGGTAGAGCGCTCTCCTTGAGCTGAAGAGCTGAGGGACAGCGCCCAGGCCCTGAGTTCAAGCCCCACGACCGACAAAACAAAAACAAAAATAAAAATAACCCCCCAAAAACCCTATAAATTCTTAGGTTCCACCCACTCCTACTTTCAGACTCTGCTCTGAGGGATGTTCACATGAGAGCTAAATGAAATTCTTTCCTATTGATTTCTTTTTTTCTTATGACTCCATTTAGGTAATATTCCTCTTAGAAAAACCTCAGCGTTTCTAAAAGAAATATTACTTCTCTACCCAACCCAATTACTTCCTGAGAGTCGTGTGCTGGATTCGGGGGGGTCATGAATGACATGGCAGACTCGTTATTCAACGTATTTGGGGTGGTTTAAAGCATAGGAATCCTGTCCCCTGGCACGTGGGTCTTGATTCCTGCTACCCTGAGGATGATGGAGTTACAGTGGGACGGAAAATTAGATCTCCTGGATGGAGTTGGGTTTATTTTAATTCCCTGTCTATACGCTAAGACGTGAAGAGGCTTCCATGCCATCGTTTTGGGAAACCGAAGAAAAAAGTAAGTCAGAATTCCAACTTGAAATTCCTTATGGATTTTCAAATATGTGTTTAGCTCTGTGTGTGTGTGTGTGTGTGTGGTGTGGAAGCGTATGTGCACACGTGCTGGTGTCACGGCTTAAACTCTTGGAACTTCGTGCTCTTGGTTGACTTTCTTGGGAATTCTAGCAGACGTTCCTGTCCAGGCTGGCTTTGAATCTCAAATCTCTAATCTCAGCCTCCTGAGTAGAGAAGATGACAAGAGTATCCCACCCCCTCTTCCCCTTCCACCCTACCCAGAGTCTGGTATGGAAGACAACCTTTACAAGCCATTTCATAGGCCAAACATTAATATCCATAATCTACAAAGAGCTCAGAACAACGCAACAGCAAAAGATGAAATGGTCCAGTTGCTATATAGGCAAACAGATCCAATAAACGTGCAGCAAGAGAAGCACAAATGGCTAATAAATGCATGGCACATGGTTCAACATCTTTAGCCATAAGAGGAAATGCGAATCAAAATTACATTAAGATTCCATCTCAGCCCATCATGATGGAAATCATTCAGAAAACAAACAACAAACACGTATCAGGATATAGGAGGAAAATCAACAGGGGCAGGGGGTGGGGGTGGAGGTGTGTGATCAACACTCCTACACTGACACCGTTGGTGAGAATGTAGACTAGTGCAAACACTCGCCACATTAAATGGCTCACGCCTGTAAATCCTAGAGACTCAGGAGGCTGAGATCTGAGGATCACGGTTCAAAGCCAGCCCGGCAAGGAAAGTCCGTGAGACTTTTATCTCCAATGAACCACTCAGAAAACTGGAAGTGGTGCTGTGGCTCAAGTGGTAGAGTGCTCGCCTTGAGCTGAAGAGCTGAGGGACAGCGCCCAGGCCCAGCGTTCAAGCCCCATGACTGACTAAAACAAAACAACAACAGCAAAACCTACCTTATGGCCTGACTATACCCTTCTTGGCATATATATATATATATATATATATACATATATATATATATATATATACACACATATATAGGCATATATACCAAGAAGGGTATAAATATATATACGCACGCACATATATGTATGTATATATGTATATATATGCGCATATGTGTGTATATATGTGTGTGTATATATATGTGCATATATACACATATATACATATATATATAAGAATTATGTATATATATATATATACATATACACACTGTAGTATTACTAATATGTGATAGTTCAATGAGGTCAATCATCACCTTAGCAGGCAAGCTGGAAGGCCAAAGAAGACTCTTCTTACCTCAGTTCGGTGTACGAGCTGCTGAGTGGCATCATCATTCATCCGAAAAATTTCCAGGAAGGGGTCAGATTTACTGAAGAAATCCTAAAACAGACAGATGGCAACAACTTGGGTTGCATCCCGCCAGAAACTGCGTACAAAAGATATCCTAGGCTGGGAAGGTGGCTCAGTGGCCTAGCAGGCCTGAAGCCCTGGGTTTGATTCCCTCAGTATACCACAAACATAAAAAAAGCCAGAAGTGGCACTGTGGCTCGGGTGGTAGAGTGCTAGCTGTAAGCAAAAAGAAGCTCAGGGATAGCGCCCAGGCCCTGAGTTCAAGCCCCAGGACTGGCAAGAGAAAAAAAGATATCATAAGCTAACACCTTTCTCTCAAGCCATGACTAGTATTCTCCAAAGGACATCCTAATGGCCCTGGTAACTTGACCTTAGTCAGGGTGGCTTTCTAGAAGATTTCCAACCACTCGGCCCCCATTCTTCATTTCAGGGTCAGTTTTTTATGACGGTCTGTTGGCTTTCTCTGTCTGTTTCTCCTAGGGGCATCTTTGTGTTGTTCAAAAGATCCCTGAATATTTAATCCTGTCTGGGTTCTCAATTTCTCAGGGGCTGCAGACTAGCAAACATGGAGTGACCCTTGCAATATTTCACCTTGGAATCTCTCTCTCCTCCTCTGTGAGTGGAGTGGGGTATGCGAGTCACACCTATCAAATGTTATCAAATGGGGCGTGCACAATGCACAAGGGAAGGGGCGTGATCATGTGTGAGATAAGATCTGGCCAAGCACCAGTGCTTAAATAAGTATCACTTTTCTTCTCTTTTTACATTTTCCTGTTTTCCTCCTAACAATGTTCCTATGCCAGGGGTTCATATTCCTATTTTTTCCGAGGACACAGCTGACCGATGGCATCCTGGGAGCTAAGGAAGTTGTGGTGTCATCATCATCATCATCATCATCATCATCATCATCATCAGTTGTCCTGTTTTAAAGCCAGGCACCGGTGGCTCCCGCCTCTCAACGCAGCTACTCAGGAGGCTGAGATCTGAGGATCGCAGTTCAAAGCCAGCCCGGGCAGGAAAGTCCGTGAGACTCTTATTTCCAATGAACCACCAGAAAACTAGAAGTGGTGCTGTGACTCAAGTGGTAGAGCGCTAGCCTTGAGCTGAAGAGCAGAGGGACAGCGCCCAGGCCCTGAGCCCAAGCCTCTACATGTCCTATTTTAAAGTCACCTCCCCTGCTCCCCACTCCCATATCATCAGCTGCTCCTGGCTTCCGGGGGAGGTGGGGGGAAGGTCTCATTTAATTCAGCACATCCCTCTGGAACTGTGATGGGCTTCATAACCACAAGGCTTGGAAGAGATGCAGAACATCTGCAGGAACATCTGGTGCTGTGTTTACACTTCCATAGGTGTAATGGCGAAGCTCCTACCTTATCATCCAACTTCCGAGCGTTGAACGCAAGCTCCACGTAGTCGTCATTGCCGGATAATTCTTCAGCAATCACCTGAGGAGGGAGAAGCACCCATCAACCACAGAGCCAAGGGGAACGCTCTACCGCTTGAGCCACAGCGCCACTTCCGGTTTCTTGGTGGTTCATTGGAAATAAGAGTCTCAGGGACTTTCCTGCCTGGGCTGGCTTTGAATCGTGATCCTCAGATCTCAGCTTCCTGAGTAGCTAGGATGACAGGTGTGAGCCACTGACACCTGGCTAAGAGTTTCTTTACAGGTCACCAGGCATTGGGTGAGACTTGCATACATAATTATGTATGTATGTATGCATGTATGTATGTATGTATGCATGTATGTATGTATGTATGTATTTTCCCTCATCGGGAAATTACAAAACAGTTCCTACTTCTCAAAGACTGTTGTGGGATTCAAGAGAAAAGGAGATGAAGGAGAAGAGGGAGAGAGGGAAGGAGGGAGAAGGAAAGAGAGAGGAAGAGAAGGAGAGACAGAAGGAAGAGAAAGCAGAGAAGGAGGAGGAGAAGGAGGCGGAGGAGGAGGAGGCGGAGGTGGAAGCGGAGGAGGAGGAGGAGGAGGAGGAGGAGGAGGAGGAGGAAAAGTGGTTAAAAAAAAAAAGCCCCAGTTCTGCTGGCTCATTCTAGCTATTCAGGAGTCAAAGATCTGAGGATCGTGGTTCAAAGCCAGCCCAGGCAGGAAAGTCCATGAGACTCTTATCTCCAATGAACCACCAGAAAACCAGAAGTAGAGCTGTGAGTCAAGTGGTAGAGCACTTGCCTTGAGTAGAAAAGCTTAGGGACTGTGCCTAGGCCCTGAGTTCAAGCTCCAGGACTGACAAAACAAACAAACAAACAAACAAAACAACACTGGTACAGGCGGAGAAATGAAATTCTCTAAGAAGCTCTTTTATGAGAAATTACTCCCTGTCCTTTCTCAACCTTTTGACTAACATCAAATGTCACAAGAAATCCCCCTTCCAATATTTAATAACCCATGACTCTTAAGGCCTTGGAACAGAAGTCAGTGAGAAAAGTCGGTAGGAAAACAGTAACAATAAAAGCCTGCCAAACCCAGAGTCTAGGGTGGCTGCATGTAGGTTAGATCATTTATAAATAACATTAGGATTTTTAATCAAGTGCTCGGGGACCATGATACACAAAAACCCTTATCAAATGGGATATTTTGAGACCCTGGTATTTAATTCAATGTTATCTCTATTCTCTCAGGGCTCAACTTTCCCATGATTCACGGCTCTGAATACCCAATGGTAGCTTTTGCAAACGTATTTGTCCCTAATGTTAAAGAGACATTCACCTCACACAGGAGAAGCTTCCGGCAATTGCAAATCTTAAGTCTAGGGTTAATAGGAGACATGTAGGAACTGCTTTGTAACCCAGGAATCATAGTTATACTTTTTATTTGATTTTTTTTTTTTTTTTGGTCCGTCATGGGTCTTGAACTCTGGGCCTGGGCGCTGTCCCTCAGCTCTTCAGCTCAAGGCGAGCGCTCTACCACTTGAGCCACAGTGCCACTTCTGGTTTTCTGGTGGTTCATTGGAGATAAGAGTCTCACAGACTTTACCTGCCAGGGCTGGCTGTGAACCATGATCCTCAGATCTCAGCCTCCTGAGTAGCTAGGATGACAGGTGTGAGCCACCAGCACCCAGTTTTTCTGATTCCCTTTTGTCTTTCCTGTTATAGGGCTTTCTCTCAGACTCTAATATTCTTACACCATTATATGCTTTGAGAAAGCTTAGGAAAGTTACCCTATTTTCTACCTGTAGAGGTCATGAATTTCTAACATTTTCCAGAAGCTGTTGAAGTCATTGTTTTATTTGATCCAAGGACCCAAGATTAAGAGGAATATGTAAATATCTAAAATTAAGAAGACTTTATGTGGCGCTGTGGCTCAAGTGGTAGAGCGCTTGCCTTGAGCTGAAGAGCTGAGGAACAGCGCCCAGGCCCAGAGTTCAAGCCCCATGACCAACAACAATAACAAAAAAGTAAATACTTGACTAAAACTGAGTAAAAACAAAGTCAGGAGTTTGGTTTTTTTTTTTTTTTTTCCTCTTGACAATTTGCCTTTCTTGCCACTTTGCTTTTCTGTGTCTCTGTCTCTGTCTGTCTGTTTCTCTCACACACACACATATACCATCTTTCTCTCTGTCTCTGTCTCTCTCTCTGTGAGAATTAAGACTTTAACAGTATTTACCCCAGGGTCTGGTTTATTGCTTAAGAAGCAGAGAAAACAGCATTGAACATTTCCTCTTCTGTATGATAGTTGGGAGTTATGGTACCTAATTCTGTACCTACTAAACACAGGATTACTTAGATCTATACATACATTGATTGATTGATTGATTGTTGGTGGTGGTGGGGTTTGAACTCTGGGCCTGAGCGCTGTCCCTCAGCTCTCCAGCTCAAGGCGAGCACTCTACCATTTGAGCCACAGCACCACTTCCAGGTTTTTTTCTGCTTCTGTGGTGCTGAGGAATCGAAGCCAGGGCCTCATGCATGCAAGGCAAGTGCTCTACCACAGAGCCACCTTCCCAGCCCTATATATTTATTTTAAATTAAACTAAAAGCAGATATTGTTTTCGACCCATCAAGAGTGGAGCTCGCGCGATCAAGAGTTACTTTCGGCTAACAGCCACGATGACTAGACAGGGGAGCAGTGTGTATTGTGGGGAACCGTCGGAGGCGGAGGGCCGACAGGAGAGGCTCACCGTGATGGAAGACTTGCCGGCCGTGTTCCCGTGCTTCAGCAAGGACTTGGACAGCTTCCTCTGGGAAACAATCTGTCCAAGAGGAAACAGAAAGGAAGAGGTCCTCGTCATGTACCTGTGTGTCTATTTTAAGTTATTTTTCCCCACAGGATCCTGCATCCATAGCGCCGCTCGAAATGGTGGTATCTTTGTCGATTTGTATTCCCAGGTTCAACCTTATGCCTCTCATAAATCAGGTTTTCCCTCCTTCCCTCCCTGCCTCCCTGCCTCCCTCCCTCCCTTCCTCCCTCCCTTCCTTGCTCCCTTCCTTCCTTCCTCCCTCCCTCCCTCCCTCCCTCCTCCCTCCCTTCCTTCCTTCCTTCTTCCTTCCTTCCTTCCTTTCTCTCTCCCTTCCCCTCCCTCTTTTTCCTCTTTTCCTCCCTCCCTTCCTCCCTCCCTTCTTCCTTTCCTTTCTTCCTTCCTTCCTTTCCCTTCCCCTCCCTCCCTCCCTCTCTTCCTCTCCCTCCCTCCCTTCCTTCCTCTCTTTCTTCCTTCCCTTCTTTCCTTCTTTCTGCTTTCCCTTCCTCCCTCTCTCCCTCTCTCCCTTATTTCCATCCCTTCCTCCCTTCTTCCTTCCTTCCTTCCTCCCTTCCTTCCTTCCTCCCTCCCTCCCTCCCTCCCTTCCTCCCTCCCTCCCTTCCTTCCTTCCTCCCTCCCTCCCTCCCTCCCTCCCTTCCTTCCTTCCTTCCTTCCTTCCCTTCCTCTCTCCCCTTCCCGCCCTCCTTCTGTCCCCCCTAGCCAGGACTGGGGCTTGAACTCAAGGCCTGGGCCCTGTTCTTTATCTCTTTTTCCGGTTTTTAATTTTTTGCTCCAGGCTGGATTCTATTGGATCCACACTTCACTGCCCAGACACCGTTCCTTCCCTTGTCTTCCTGTCTCATCCACGTCACTCATCCAACCCCATGGTTCTTCACGTGGCCTCAGCATTCCCGCCTCCAGCCTGCTGTGTTCCCAGGGGTGGGGAGAGCCTGCCCTCTCTGTTCATCTAGACGAAACAGCATTACCACATATGGGATGCCAAGAACTTGCCTCTTACCAGGTAAGTTCTTGGGAGACCTGACTTCCTAGGCAAAGGGTGTTTGGCCATACAACTGGCTATCCCAAAGAGTCGACAAAACAGACTTGTTTCCTATCTCCCGGGGCCTCTGATCTCAGCTCCCACGAAATGAGCCATCATGTGTTTTTTTTTTTTCTCACAATCATCATGATGAATAAGGAAGACAGTGTCATTCATGTTGTCCTTCTTGGGACTACCGGGCAAAAAACAGCAGGGATACCAGGCCGGCATGAAGTCCACCTGTTGCCAGGCGCAGGCTTTGCTGCTTTGGAAGCAACTGAACCAGGCTGACCACAGAGACCTTAGGCCTTGTCAGAGAATGAGGAAGTAGGAGATCAATGAGTAGTTTGTTCTGGCTGCCACTGACATTGGAGGCCCAGAAAGAATAAGGTTTGTCTGGCCCCAAGGCCAGAGGAGAGCTGGCGCTGGTCCGAAGTCCTCTGACTTAATCCTTTGTACCGCATCATGGGGTCACAGCTGCCCACCCCAGCATTTAACCCAAGGGTGAACCCCACAGGGTCCAGGCACAGAATTGCAGAGACACAGATCTAAGCTCAGACGCCTGGGTTGAAGTCCTCACCTCCCTGTTTGAAAACGGCATGGGCAGAAGCAGATGACGTCAACGTGTAGGTGCTTAGCAGGTGAACGAGTGAAGGGATTGGCACAATTACCCCCAAACTCCCCTTTCCAGGGACTTTTCTGAGGGTTAAATAAGATCATTGGGACAAAAAGATTTCCGTACAGACTTGGTCAGCCTCGAGCACCGTTTCATCCTGATGGCTAACGCATGCAGTAAGCGTGGGGTTCATGGAAGAGAGGGAGAGCTGTGTAGAGCGCTTGGCTTTCAGATGACTGTTATCCTTCATAGCTCTGAGACACAACATAGATCCAAAAGAACAGGGCCTCAAGGCTCCACGTGGCTTAGGTGCTTGGGATCTTTTCCGCCAAGCTTCCACCAATGGGGTGTTCCTTGGCAAACAGGAGCCCGCCCGCTCTCTTCCCTGAGCAGGGACAAGGAGGCTTTGCGGATGTAAGATACCCCTGATAGAAGGCGTCCAGAAAAAAACAGTCTTTTCTATGGACCACCTAGGAGGAAGTCAGTGGAAAAACTTGGGGGCGGATTTGTTTTTTGCAAGGTGTCTTTTTCTTTTATGTGGGTGATAGGGCTCACTGGGGGCCTGGATGCTGTCCCTGAACTCTTTTGCTCAAAGGCTAGTAACTCTACCACTATGAGCCACGGGGGGGGGGGGGGGGGGGGTACTTCCGGTTTTCTGAGTGATTTATTGGAGGTAAAGAGTCTCATGGATGTTCCTGCCCCGGGCTGGTTTTGAACTGTGATCCTCAGATCTCAGCCTCCTGAGTAGCTAGGATGAGAGGTGCCTGCCTTGTATAATTTTTTTTGGGGGGGAGGGAGGGAGAAATTGTTCTGAAGATGCTTTAGATCAAGTCCCTGGGGAAGAGAGAGGGGGCCCGGCCAATGTGTCTTTGATCTCTTGCATTATGATTTTTGATTACCAAAGATACCCCAAAGGGTCCCTCATCACTAAAAAGTTAAGAAAGAAGCATTGGCCAGGCACCGGTAGCTCACACCTGTTATCCTAACTACTCAGGAGGCTGAGATCTGAGGATTGCCATTAGAAGCCATTCCAGGGCAGGAAAATCCGTGGGACTCTTATCTCCAATAAACCACTCAGAAAACCTGAAGTGGCACTGTGGCTCAAATGGTAGAGGGCTCACCTTGAGCTGAAGCGCTGAGGGACAGCGCCCAGGCCCAGAGTTCAAGCCCCATGACCGATTTAAAATAATAATAATAATAATAACAACCATTAACTAAGCCAAAGATGTTCTGCGCTTCCCCCAAAGCTTAGCATCTCCAGTTCTAGCCTAACATGGAGAAAAGAGAACACTTGTATTTTGAATTAACCTAGCATAGAATTTCAAAGGAGAAAGAAAGGGGGGGAGAGGAAAAAAGCAAAAAGAAAACATACACAATACCTGCTTGGTTTACAAAAATCGTTCCCGAGAGGCATAGATTTCCAAATCAAGGACACAAGGAAGCCAGGGATGAATTAATTAACTTGGTGTGAGGTAGAATGTGAGTCTCTAGGGCTTCTCTATACCAGCACAGGTCAGCAAAGGCCCGGCCTCGCTGGCTGGCTTAGGAGCTCTGGCGGGGAGGTGAGCTGATTTACAAATGCCTTTCTTCTGCATCTGTAGCATCTGCTCACCAGGATGCTCAGGTCCCTGCATTGACCCTGAGCCCATCATCAGAAACCAGGGAGCTAGGATCCTGCCCCGCAAACTCTTTTCTCCCCACCGAGATCCAAAGAAAGAGGAAACTGGCATGAGGGAAAACTGTTTGGCTTAGGAGGCAGAAGGCTAACTAACATCGAAGCTCACCCTATCCTGATAACTCCCAGCATCCTGGGGTCCTGGTCCTCTACCCAATACTCCTGCTGGAAGCCATGTCACCACTTCCTCTCATACTTGCTTAGAAGAGTAGATCGGCCTATGGTTCAGTATGGCCGGGGCTTGACTACTTTAAGAGATCGATACCCCGGGTTTCCACTTTCCAATGCACCCCAATCTGAGTGCATTTGTGATCAGAGAGCATTTTTAAGGCTTCACACTGACCACAGGGTTGATGATCATAGGTCAGGCATTCACTCGCGAGCTTGGTGGTGCCAACAATATTGTCGTCGTCATCATCATCATCATCATCATCATCATCGTCATCATCATCATCATCATCACCACCAGGCCATGGTGACAAGCTTCTCATGTGGACCAAAAGAATAACAATCCAACACCAGTCAGGCATCAGTGGCTCATCCCAGTTCATCCTAGCTGAGATCTTAAGTCTCCGGTCATCAGGAGGCTGAGATCTGAGGATCGAGCTTTAAAGCCAAACCCTGGGCAGAGGAGTCTACAAGAACTGGAGGGGGGCTGGGAAGGTGGCTCAGTGGTAGAGCGCTTGCCTTGCATGCCTGAGGCCCCGGGTTCGATTCCTCAGCACCACATAAGCAAAAAGAAAAAAGGCGGAAGTGGCGCTGTGGCTCAAGTGGCAGAGCGCTAGCCTTGAGCTGAAGAGCTGAGGGACAGCGCCCAGGCCCAGAGTTCAGGCCCCACGACCGGACCAAAAAAAAAAAAAAAAAAAGAACTGGAGGCATGGTAGAGTGCTGAACTTGAGCAAATAAATAAATTTTTAAAAAGCCAAGTGAAAGTAGGAGGAAGCTTTGACTTCAAGTCCCAGTACTGGCATGCACGCGTGCACACATACACACACACACACACACACATGCACACACACGCGCAAACACACACGCACACACACGCATACACACATGCGCGCACACACGCACACACTCACACACACGCACACATGCACACGCACGCACACACGCACACCTACACGCACACACGCACACACACACATGCACACGCACACACACGCACGCACACGCACGCACACACGCACGCACACGCATGCACACACGCACGCACATGCATGCACACACGCGCACACACACACACACATGCACACACACGCACGCACACACACGCACACACATTCAACACCAGGCATTTGGATTTAACAACCCAAAGCACTAAACAATTTCTGTTCCCTAAGCTATACTACCTCTGGGCTTCTGTTTCATCTGAATCATAAGAAAAAGATACCTTGCAGGGGGCCAGTGGCTCACACCTGTCATCATAGCTACTCAGGAGGCTGAGATCTGAGGATTGCAGTTCAAAGCCAGCCTGGGCAGGAAGGTCCGTGAGACTCTTATCTTCAATGAGCCACCAGAAAACTGGAAGTGGCGCTGTGGCTCAAGTGGTAGAGCACTAGCCTGGAGCTGAAGAGTTGAGGGACAGCGCCCAGGCCCAGAGTTCAAACCCCATGACTGACAAAAAAAATCTATATAATGTCAGGAGGGAGAAGGAAGAATGTAGTCAAAAAATTCAGTTCAATGCA